ATGATGAATACAGAAAAGCATGAAAGACTTGTATTAACTAAAGCAGAATGAAATGAATAGAGTCAAGAATCAATATACACAATGACTGTAACAATTTAAATGGAAAGAGCAACCACCCCAAAACAAACAAAACTGCATGTTGTAAAATACTAAGGAACAAGGTTGGCCCCAAAGAAGAGATACAAAAAACAACTCCACCAGATACAAGGTGCGAGGTCACAAGTGCAAATAAAGTGCATACAAAATCAGATTTTTTTCCAATAATGCATATTTTTTCCTATTTTTTTCCTCTTTAAAAAAATTCTTTGTTATAAAGGGTCACTATGTAAAAAGAGGAGGGAATTACAGGGGAAATGTGAGTAATATGAAAATAAAATATCTTAATAAGAAATCAGTTTAAAAGATGTAGGTGGCATCTTTACTGACAGTATTAAAATGCTATGAAGCTGGGAAGTAATAGCAAATATTTTGAATTATAGCATGAGGATTCCAAAAAGATCTCAATAAGCTAGAATGATGGGCAGAGTCTATTAAGATGAAATTGAATAGAGAAAAATGCAAAGTCTTCGCACTCAAGTTCAAAAAATCAATTGCATAAATACTAAGATTAAAGTGAAATGATTGGACTAGTACATTGTAAAGGAGCTAATAGGGTCTTAGGTTGCATTAATGAAAGGATAGTGTCCAGAACGAGAGAGGTTTTAGTCTCATGGCACTTTGCCCTGCTCTGACCACATCTAAAGTATTGTGCTTATTTCTAGGTTCCAAGTTGTAAGAATGACTTGAACAAAGTGGCATTAGACACCCAGGAGGGTGAGATTCAAAACTGTGCCATATAAGCAACTGTTAAAGGAACTGGGTAGAGTAGATGTGGAGAAAAGGAGGAGCATGATAGTGGTCTTAAAAATATTTGAAGATATGCCATACAGAAAGGAGTTAGATTTATGAATTACTCCAAAGGGCAATACAAGGACCACTAGGTATTAAGTTACAGGGGAAAAGCTCAGTTAAGTGCTTCCTAATAACTACAGCTGTTTGAAAATGGAATGAGCTGTGCATACCCTGAGTTCTATATTACGGAAGTTTTCAAGTTGAGGCTGGGTGTCTGCGTATCCAGAATGTAGTAGAGAGGATGGCCAAACAACAACATGATAGCCAAGGAAGGAGAGACTATAAAGAAGGAGGAGATAGTTAGTTATCAGTAATAAATGCTACATAGTGGTTGAGGAGAATGAGAAATACAGTAAAAGTCACTGGATTTACAACTAGGGGATCCTTTAAAATTACTTAACTGCCTTTAGCTCAGTCTATCTCTCCCAGGCCACAGCAAGTGGAAAGTGGAAAATTCTGTCATCAGGTGACTGGCCAATCTTGCTTTGAGTGTTAAGTCAAAACCCAGTACTCTTGGACATTTAGAAGTATAGATTCTTTGAGTTGGAAAAGAATTCAAAGGTCATCTTTCTAATCCATCTAGAGACAGATGACTTAGAATTCTCCTAGGTAAAGAGTATGCCAACCCCTCAGTCACATTCCAAGAAGCTAGACCTACTCTCTAGGACAAACTAGCCAGGGGTGTGATGTTCCAAAGGGAAAGCCAGACTTTGGCTGATGCAGGCAAATTTTTAAAAAAAGGAGCAACTGAGGAAAAAGGAGTAGGGGGATATTTTTACTATAGAACTTCCTAATAGTAGAGTAGAAGGGGGAAGAGAATAAGCATTTATATAGCACCTACAATGTACCAGGGACTATGCTAAACAGTATTTTTACCAACATTATCTCAATGGATCTTCACAACAACCCAGCAAGGTAGATGCTATTATTATCCCCATTTCATTGAGGCAAACAGAAGTTAAGTGACTTAGCCAGGGTTACAGAGCCAATAATTATCTGAGGGCAGATTTTAATTCAGGTCTTCCCACTACCAGTTGCCTCTTCAAAGAGTAGAAGGGATTAGTAGAGGAACAAATTGTGTCTGGAGATGTTTAGGACTGAGTTGAATGGGGATAAGAGTTTTAGAGGAGGTGGGAAAGGGCTATTCACACAGGGTGATATTCTAGGATAACAAGGAATTTATGGAGTGGCTTGCCTTGATAGTGCGACCTCCCCAGGTTGAAGGTCTGCAGATGGTAGGCGTGGCTTCTGGTGGAAGGAGTAGGAGAGCTGGAAGAGCTGCTGGCCTTGGCCTCAGTGGGGTACAGGCTTCTCCTCTCCCCTCAGTGGGCCAGACTGAATCAGAGTCCCGAAGCAAGTCTGACCTTCTCCAGTCCAGGCATTGAGGGGAAAGACTGAGGAAATTACCGTTGTCTTCCAAGTCTTTGTACTAAAGCTTTCTAAGAGAAAACCAAGAGAAGGGCTAAAAGACTGTTCAGGACTGGTATGCCAGGAGAAACCTGAATGGCTGAGATGTCGGTGACTACAGGAACATGAATGTTAAGACCTACTAGACCACGTGGGCTCCTCTGGTGGTGAAATCCAGGGATACACCTGCAGTGCCTCAGGCAATTACAGCTAAGAACCAGTACCAAGACTCAGCTTAGAGGGAAGGGTAGAATTCCACAGCCCAGAATGCAGCCCAGGGGGCTTCTTCAAAGCTTTGGAAGCAGGACAATACATGCTTCCTGAGATGATCTGGGCAGCTAAGGCAGTAGTTGTAAGGCATTCCCTCAGTGAACAGATGCTCTGACCAGCAGACTTCAGTCTCTGCTTCTCAAGCTTCTGTGACATTTGTAGGTAGCAGCTAGGGGGATTCTGGAGCTGGGGCAGGAAGAGGAAGGAAGCATTTGTCAAGGATAGAAACCACCAGGCTGAGCTGGCTGCCTAAGGGTGTAAGTGAGGATCTCGTTCTGTTTTAAGAGGGGATGGGTATACCCCAGGGATTCTGGGCTCTGATAGGTGAACTTGCCTCTCATCTTCCATAGAACCAGGCCTCCATGCCAGTTCTGCACACTATGCCCCGTGCCCCACCACTGTACCCTCACTTTCAAGCTCCCATTTATATTTGTCCTTCTCCATTAGAATATTCCAGTTCCCATTTATATTTCTTCTTCTCCATCAGAATATAATCTCCTTGAGGGCAAGAACTTTCTTGGTTCTGTGTATTTCTATCCCTGTGCAGTTGGCACAATTCCTGGCACATAGTAGGTACTTTATAAATGCTTTATCGCTATCTCAGGGATAAAACAACTAACCAGATTAAAGGGGGAAGAAAACTATCTTGTTAGTCCCTGGAAGCTTGTGAGCAGGGACACACGGACACACACACACACACATATATTTGTATGCATGTATATATTTGGACTGGACCTATGGTTTCACTGGCATGGAGAACTCTAGATCAGCAGGCTCCTATTCATGCAGATCAGCACATGCTCAGCAACTTATAGTTACACTGAGTTGTGCAGGGAACTGGGGTAAGTGACTTACCCAAAATCACACAGCCCATATGCCTCTGAGGAGGGACTTGAATCCAGATCTTCCTGACTCCTAGTTCAGCTCTCTCCACTACTCCCCACTACGTCTCACATATACTATAACAACCATCCCCCTACACTTCTCAAGAACCAGGCTTGGCTGATTTCCAGGCTCTGGGAGTAAACCCTGTTGTGACCAAGTTTCTTGTCAGTGACTTGACGAGACAGCTGTAGGAAAGAAGATAAGAATGTAACTTCTACTCACCAAGCTTCATGTACATATGATTCTTCTTCCCATCTAGTAGCCCCCACCATTGTCAAGGCCTTTCTTCCCTTCATATGTTAGGAATACTCCCCATTTTCAGTCTTTGATGTTGATTCGAATCTTTTATTTGGGTTAAAATGTTAGGAGTAAAGGGCCTGATGCATAGTGTGACCTCTGCCCCCTGTCACCTAGCTCCCCAACATTCCAATGATGTTACTGACCCTATCCTTGCCTACTACTCTAACTGCTTTGGGAGTAGAGAAGAAAGCACAGCATTAGGATAAAAAAATCATCAAGGTAGAGTAGAAAGATTACTTTATTTAGAAACAGAGAACATAGGTTCAGGTCCTCATGTCACCATCTATTACCTGTGTGATTTTAGACAAGCCACCCCTCTGGGCTTTAGTCTCCTCAACTGTAAAATGAAAAGGCTGAACTAAATCAGCCATGAGATTCCTTCCAGTTCTTAATCTACGATCCTCTAATCCACCTGAGAGGGTGCCATCTGGCCTGGGAGCATTGTCATTTCTGGACGTTTCAAACCAAGTCTGGCCATTGTCCAGTGGGTGGTGCCAGAGAGTTTACTCTGTACAGATCCAATACCGGTGCTGAAGTCTGGCAAGGGTTATCACCGTCTGGGCTCTGCTGAGGCAGCAGAGTTCAAAGGACCATTACCACAGCCACCTTTTTGATGCTTGTTTTCATTTCTTCCCCATCATGATTCTCAATTGAAGTAGACCAAGTGACTGAGGATGCCTTGAGGTCTGTGTGCCGCAATCCTGAAGCTGGAGAAGAAAAGAGAAGCAAGGAAGGAAAGGAAAGAGCTTCAACTTTGCTTTCAATTTCACCTGGTTAAGAAATGTTTGTCTCCAACCTTTACAAACATACCAGTTTATCCTGAGAGAGGACTATGGGGCTATGCTCTTACAGCAGAGGGATTCCTTTTTGCTGAAGAGGCTTGAATTTGCACATGCTCAGCATAGGTATAGGGTAGAATGGTTTTTCATCTCAAATTCTGGCTTTTCAAGAATGAATTTGTCCAGAAGTTAGAATCATAGAGAAAAGTGCCACACTAAGAAAAATTGCTTTGTCAACCCAGGACCCATTTGAGGAGCAACCTAACCCAAGGAGCAATTTCTGGTTAAAATGGCATCGTATTGGCCTTTTCCCAGCTGGAGTCCAGTGAGAGAGAAGCTTTTCAAGAGTTTGGAACTCTTGGGGGAGGGAGGGGGAAAGAAGGGGAAGGATATGGGAGAGGGGGAGGTTGTTTCCAAGACAACGGTTTGGAGAAAGAAAAGACAAAGCTTGGAAAGAAAGAAAGCCAGCAGGACAAATACCCTAGAAACCAGTGGAGAAGATGGTCCAGTGCTTGGCACCATATCAAGGACCAAGTAAGGCTTAAGGGGGAAAAGTCAAATGACTAGTTCTTCAGCATTTCTTGGCCTCTTGTAGCAGAAGTGGGAGGAGACACCTCAGCCAGTATTTATATTCAGAGTGGGGTATGTAGTATATAAAAACTGTTAGATGACTCCCTCCCCCATCATATCTTCCTCTGCTTAACACTCCCTTTTCAAAGAGCCCGGCTCAAGGCTTTATCAGCTGTTGCCTTCTGCCAGGGAGAAACCAGAGAGTCTGTAAGTATCCTCTTAATGTCTGTTACTTAGAGTTTTCCTCATTACCGGGTAATTTGTGTTATTGTTTATCTGTATTTCTTTATTTCCCTCCTCCCCTCTTTGGAAAACTGCACAGTTTCTCTGTATGCCTGAACTAAATAGACTAGCTCTAAAGGCACAGTTCAAGGGATGCAGTCAGCTTTGGGTTTTTGGTTTCTTTTGACCCAAACCACCAGCTTCTCTAAGACGGCTCGAATGTGCTATCATCTTCCAGTGAGATATTTGCTTCCTCACTGTTGTTGATTGTTAAGACAGAGTAGAAGACTAAATTTGACCAAAAATGACAGAGGATATATACAACAAGGGAATCCCTTTGACTGCTAAGTGGTCATTCAGTGGAATGCTGAATGTGGAGTCAGAGAGGTGAGTTTGGACCCAGCTCTGTCCTTAACTCCCTTTGTCCCCTTGGACTAATCCCTTATTGTCTAAACTTCAGTTTTCTTAACTAGCAGACACAGCTTCAGAATTAGAGTTCCAATGTGGGCTCTGTCTCTTACTACCTGTGAGTCCTTGGGCAAATCACTTATCCTCTCTCAGTCTTAGTTTTCTCATCTGCAAAATGGGGATAATACAGAATGTACTAAAAATCTTAATGAAGCTTTAGCTATTGAGCTAAAATGACTAAGACTAAATTATTAAGGCTTAAAACTGCATTTTTGAGATGCTCTATGTTAACCTACTTCCCAGGATTGTTATGAGAATTAAATAAGATAACATGTGTAAAGGACTTTATGAACTTTAAAGTGCTATTATAAATGCTAGACATTATGATTATAGAAAATAAGGAGGGTAAACTAAGTGACCTCTAAGGCTCCTTCCAACTATAAACCTATCTTATGACTTGATGACTTTTGAAATCCCCCCACCCCACCCCAGCCCTAAAGTAGTGATTCTAGGTTCCTCTGAAGTAGAAGCTTGTGTTCTTGAAATAGTTAAATAGCAAAAGAAACTTTGTATTTCTATGACTCAGTGGGAGTAAGTAAGGCACAGGGTATGGCCCTTTCTAATTATGAAATTATATGTTTTTCTACCTGTCCTGTCATGCTGAGAGAGTTTGTTTCACAAAAGCCCATATTGAATGGAAAGAACTGTTCTATCACATCTGAAGTCACTGGCTAGGATAGTTCTGAAACTGCCGCATACATGCAAACTTCCAGACTTTGACTCACAGATAACTGAAAGAAAAGGACTTACCAGGGAATAGAATATAGGGCAATTTCTTTTTTTTCTTATTCCAGCCTTTGGCTTTAAAGGAGATTGGGTTCCACCTGCTGCATCAGAGTTGAGAATACCCAAATTAAAGATTATTTGTAAGTACCAAATGCATCCCTTAAAGACAAAAGTTCTGTTCTTACTAGAACATAAATGTTTGAATATCCCTCATTTAGAAAAAAAAACATATGTTAGGTATGCAACTGGAGATTTTATTTTAAACCCATCATTGATGTCATAACTTAAAAGTGACACTTGCCTCAAGAGATAAAGAATGACAGTCTTCAGCTTTATGGTTTTCAAACATACAGCACCATGGAATAGTGAAAGAGATTTGATTCAAAGGAAAGTTGCTAACAGGCCTTAATTGCTATATTGAAGCTTTTCAGTTCCAGACCAACCCAGCAAATGACATTAAAGAGCTTACCCTAAAACCTCTTAAAGAAGGGTGCGGTGTTCTTAGACATAATGTAGTCCTTTCCAAAGATGGAAAAGGATGTTAGATATTTTATGCATTGCTTTTCCCAGTTCCCAGACTTTGTTCTGCTAGCTAACTTTTTACTGTTTCCTGATACAATCTAGAATTCCTACTTTTGAGGAAGGAACAATATCATGTGGAAGTGTCTAAAAATTATCTATTATTTATTGAATGGTATAAAGCATGCTACCAACAGATTTCACTTAATCCTTCTGCTAGTTTAAAAACAAGAGATTCTCTAATCTGAGCAACAGAGTGAGAAGCTTGGCAGCGAATAAAAGCTTTTTGTGAGTGTTCTCTAAAAAAAAATCAATCCCCAAAAAACCTTTTTTTTTTTTTTGCTTTTTTCATAGTCCAAAAATATCACCATAATTTTGCCTGTTTTTCATATATCTACATTTGACCACAAGATAGAGATGTGATAATTTAGCTTTATTATTTTCAAGGTATCAAATCAAACCGTCAGCTCTGGGAGGAAAGAAGTTCCTGAACACACTAACAATTCATTAAAAAGAGCTATGAAACATATTGGAATCAGAATCTGTCCCTTGGTCTATTGAGAGTTTGAAGGGGATAGAATCTCAGAGTAAATCATCTCTTCCCATGACCAGAATTTTGTTGATAAAAAACATTGGGACATATTGTCCATGGTCTTGTACATATCTTGATCAGGAGGTACAATAGACCCAGTAACGTATGATCAGTATATTAATGCTTCGTTCCTGGTGTTTTGGCCTCCATCTTCTTATACTGCACTTCATCAGAGGGCATGTTTCCTGATTTACATATTTTTTACCCTTTGTCATATGGAGGAAAGGAAGGATGAATGGACGTACTTTGAATGGCATTGGTGACACCCCACATAAAATTCTTTGGACAAACAATTTTGGAAACAAAACTTTTGAGGCAGAAGCCCAAGGCACACATCTAAGCTTACCTCTTGTGGATGGGCTGGAGGAACAGGTATGCCTATTTCAAAACAATCCCTCTCTGTGGATGATCTTTGGGGCCTGGCTCATAGCAGTGTATGTGTGGGGTGGGGGGGAGGGAATTCCTGGGAGTTCTTGGCTGATATCTGAAAGTACTCAAACTGACCTGTATCAATGCCATCTTTGAATACCTATCTCTGAAACCAGTGGTAACTAGGTGGGCAGGCTGGGAAATGAGTGCCAGGAAATTTGGGACTAATAGATCACATTGAGTGAGTTAAGGAAACTCATCTGGGGTACAGAAATGACTGAGTTATTGATGTCTGCAAGTCATTGGCAAACCAAGAAGAAAAGTCAATGAAATTCATATAATCATAACTGCTACACAGTACCTTAAACACAGTAGGTGTACAATAAATGTTGGGATGGATTAGTGAATGAATTTTCACTCAATGTCCTTTCCCCTTATTTTTCAACTCCCAATGCTATCAAATCTTGTGTAATATTGATTTTATTTTTATTTTTTATTTTTGCCTTTGTCAACTTAGCTGAGATTACAATCTCTATAACTATGATCTAGAATACTGGTGAAAGGGTGCTAGGCATTCCTCATGTAATGTTTTTGCAATTGCCCAGGTAGTATCTAGATTAATTGGGGAACTAGGAAAACAAACAGAGCCATAGAACAAGTGTTCTAGTATTACAAAATTTCTTGGATGACCGGAAACTGAAAATTTCCATTTAAATTGGTGAAATCCATCTTATGTATAACCAAAATATTTAAAAGGCTGAGCAACATAAAATTGCTCTGTGATACTCCAGAAGTCTAGAAGAAATATCTATAAGACTGTGGAGGCAGCAGAAGTTATCTTTAAGAATGAAAAAAGCCTCCTCCTCTTCCCAGAAGCAAACTTTGGCAAAAAGAGCAGTAGTAAACCTTATGTGTCAAGCTGTAAACCTGCAGAAAGATTCGACTTTTATTTTTACTTCTATTGCTTGGACAGTTGTTCTTGGCCAGGTTTTTCTTACCTGGTTTTACTCGTACTTCAATTTCCAAAGTTCCAGAATAGCAAGGTTTTTGTTTTGCTTTGTTTTTGTTTTGTTTTTGTTTTTTAAGTTCCCAAGTTTGAGAGCATGAATATATTCACCCTGTAATATGCCGTGTGTCTATCAGTGGACACATAACACCGGCCTTTGTTTTTCACCCCTCCTTCCCATTTAACATTCTGAATATACAGAAAACCAGGTTGCTGGATTGATCACCTTTCTCTTGATTAGAGTACTGTGCCTTTCATAGAATTTTCCAGTTCTTCACAGGACATACCCTAGGAGAGGGAGAGGATGACTGAAGAGGAATTTTAACCTGTCTCACCTCTCTCTTTTTTTTTTCCGCTGTGACTTTTAAAAATCAAGCACCTGAGCCTCTTATTTGATGGTGTATCCAACTAACAGTTTAATCCTTCAAGCAGTATCAAGAGGCACTTTCAAAGTGCCTGTGCTTGGAGTCAGATGACTGATGTTAAACACATATCTTGTCCTCTGGGAGTTGTCAGTCTAAGAACACCTTCCCATAAAGATTCAATTCAACTGAACAAGCATTTATTAAATACCTGCTATGTTCCATAGCATTATACTAGGGTTAGAGATAAAATATTTTTTAATGATTGCTATCCTCTAAGCAGCTTTCATTCTACTGAAAAGAACTCAACAAAAAATCTCAAATTCTAGTGGCTAATACTATTTCACCCTTTTGCCAAAGCAAAATGTGTCTGATCTGTAATTCATTAAATAATTACCTTGCATTTTCCATTAATAACTAATAACTTACCATTGTTGGGGGGTGGGGAGGGAGAAGGCAGTAGACAGTTAATGTGGCCCTATGGCTAAAGTGTGTTTATCTCTCCATTGAAAGTAAAAGAAAATACAAAGTCAAAAGATCTAATAGCAAGCAATCCCAGGAATTAATTGCCCTTTAGTAATTATCTTTTTTGTAAATTCTTTTGTAAATGGAATGATGGGCATCAAAAAGCAAATCTTGCAATTAGCACTGATCAATAGCACCTATTCCCAGCCTGACCAGTAAGATAGGACTGAATCTATCTCTTGACACTCATCTGGCTCCTGTCTTAGGTGTTCTGCTGTCAAACTACCATCAAAACACCCTGATATTCTCTACGGGTCTCATTGTGGTTTTATGCTTTGGGTATTTTCCTATGGTGCTCTTGCCTTGGCTATGCTATTGTAAGGTAATTGCAATTCTGCTCTTGTCCATATTTCTTTGCATGTGTACCCAAGGTTATGTCACTTCCCTCACCCAATTTTCCCTTAACTCGAGAGATAGTATGGCAGAGGATTGAGGTTGGGCATTGGAGGCAAGAAGATCTGAGTTCACAATTTGCCCTGGCACAAGCTGTGTGGCCCTGGAAAAGGCCCTTAGTCTCCCAATGCCCTAGGCAACTCTCTAAGGCTGAAAATTAGCTGTAATTTACAGAAGAGTTGCCTATTTGTAACAGCCAGGGAAGTTTCCATACAAGGAATTCCCAGCAGCTAGGAAATCATGGGTCTGGATCCTATCTGCCCTTCCTCAACCCCCAGATAAAAAAGTTACTGCTATTATCCAACACTGGGTTCATACTATTGTACTACACCCTTGTGTCATAAACATTCTTCTAGTCTATATTTATTGTGGCTATGGCCTTTGTCTGCTTCTATTAAACACATACTGGATATGGTGCTGGCATCCTTGTTTTGCATATTTCTTCTAATTATGTAATTGACATTGTTTTTGGATATTGATTGAGATGTAACATATAACTCTCTTTTTGCATGCTGATTTTGGCTAGGTCATCAGTATTTTTGTACCCTGGTAGTTGTGTTGGCATTTTTTTTTTTGCATATTACTCTTGGTTATTTATTGGTATTCTCTTTTGCTTAATACTCTATTTATGTCATTAGCATTCACCTTTGCAGTTAGTGTTATTATATTTAAGGCATTCTCCTTTGCATACTAAGGTATTTTTCATTATGTCATTGACATTCGCTTCTTCACACTTATCCTGATTGCACAGTATATGCACGTTTATTTTGGTTGGCATTGGCTTTCTTTTTGGCATAATTTTCCTAGTTATGATTTTGGTTTTGTCCTTTGCATACTTCTCCTGGGTAAGACACTGAGATTCTTTCTCCTTGTGTGGAATTATCTTGGTTATGTTACAGGCATTATCCTTTGCATACTTGTTTTCCTTATGTCATTGGGTTTTCATTTGAATAACTTATCTTAGGTATATCTGGCATTCTCTGCATATTTATCATGGGCATGTCTCTGGTATTTTCCTTTGCATATCTACTCGGGGTATTTCATTGGCATTCTCCTTTTGTGCAGTTACGTGGATTTGCCATTAGTATTTTCCTATGAGACTTTTATCCCAATTATGCTCTTGATATTGGCTTCTTGCATTTTTTTCATGGTTATGTTGTTTACTTTCTTGTTTTATTCTTACTGTTGTTATCCACAGCTACCTCCCTTCTGTATTTCCAAAACCCTTTGGATGGAAGATGCTATTGGGCTATTTCATGGACTCAAATAGTCAACAAACACAGAACCCCCATGGTCACAGCTACAATATGTTTGGATAACTCAAATACAAGTTCAAGTAGTCACTTGTCCTTTTGACTTACAGGGGAGGGGATTTGTTTTAGAATAGTACAAGTGTGTCTCATTTTACACAGTAGAGCATATCCCTGAAAATTTATACCTAAATAAAATTTTAATTTGGATCAATTTTGGATCATCTGTATCCCTGGTTCTCCCAGTCAATACTCCTGCAAAATAATTAATCCAATTGTAATGCTAATGAGCACATACCAATTAATCTGGGTTTTTATACCATGGGATCTCTTTAAATCTTTTTCATTTAGAAAACACCTTTCTGAAGAAAAAAAAACTTGGCTAAGAAAGCTATCTTTCTTAGTTGAGAATCAAATTATTTTGTGCATATGTATCCATTTCTAAATCACACTAATGTTAGGGCAATCCATCCCCCTCCTTGTAAGCCCATTCCTTATAGTACATGCAAAAGTATCCCTGACAGCTAGCCTGCACCTGGGAAATAACACAATTAAATGAAGTCCTGCTCTTCTCCATGTAATTTTATGGACCAATGGGATTTTGGTGACAAGTTAAGTTTAAGGGATCCTCTCCAACTTTATTTCCCCTTCTAAAGGAAAATAGTGGTGCTTTCTTTCCTGAGCATCATCTCATTTTTCCAAACAAAATGGCCTAAACAAGCTGATCTTCCAAAGATTCTGGTTTATGAATGGAAATAACAGTAATAAGCTCTCCTCTTTCTTTAAGGAGCCAGGGCAAATAATAACCATGGAGGATAACCCTACTGTCATTAAGATGGACAGTCATGAAGGAACCAGTTCATCACAGCAAGGGAGAAGGTTGATCGTCAGAGCCATTGGCTACGTCACCGGAGATATGAGAGAATACGCAGACTGGCTCAAAGGTATCTATCTTTATATCTGCTGTGGGTCATAGTTCTCTTGTTTTTCTGCCTTTGGATTAGGTATGCTTCTCCATTCTGTCTGAGGAAGGGACATTAAAAAATACTCCTCTCCCCTTTTCATCTCTCACTTTCTTCCTTCCTATCATTACTTCTCTCTTTTCCTCTTTCACTCTTCACTTCCTCTTCCCCTAAGGACCCCATTCTCTTTCTTTTCCTTCCTATCTACAGCCTTCACATCCAAAAAATCTCAATGGAAGATCCAATGACACTGGATAGATGACTTCATCTTTTAATCTCAATTTTCTCACCTATAAGGATGTGATCCTTATAAGGATCCATCTATGAGATAATAATGTACCTCACAGGAGTGTTGTAAAGTATTATATGAATGTGAATTATTATTCTTATTTTAGGATATCTCCTCCCTCTTCCCCTCTCCACCCCCACCACAAATTTCCCCAAACTTCACTAATACTTGAATTCTCACTGCCTGGTTTATAGCTTTATGACCTTTGTTGCTGTTGTTCAGCCATGTCCAACTTTTTGTGACTTCATTTGGGGTTTTCTAGGCATTAGAGTACATTCCCTTCTCTAGCTCATTTTACAGATGAAAAAACTGAGACAAACAGTGTTAAGTGACTTGCCCAGGGTCACACAGCTAGGAAGTATCTGAGGTCAGATTTGAATTCAAGAAGATGAGTCTTCCTGACTCCAGGCCCAGGGCGTTCTCCACTGTGCTACCTAGCTGCCCACTTTATGACCTATTAGAAATCAAATATTACTTCTCCCACACACAGACACGTACACACACATAAACACATAAGTACTTGTCAGTCATTTATACCTTAATATTATTTATACCTATATATTAATTAATTTATTGTGACTTTAATGAGAGTAGCTTTTGGGAAGGGGAAACACAGTAGGAAGAAACTGAGCTTTTGAGGTGAGAAGAAACCCCTTGGGAGCAGAGTATTGCTGAGAGGAGAGAAGAGCACAGAAATATAGACTTTACCTATAACAGAATTTTTCCAGACAGCCATCCTGGTAGTGAAAACCAACTGGTTCCTCCCTTTTCTCCACCTCAAGTTCTTGGAAAAATTCTTTTCTCTTAGTTGAAAAATATCCTAGTGAAGATCCCAGTCCAAGATCTTTAGACAAGGAAAGGAGAAGACAAAGATAGTTAATAGTTAGTAGAAACCCAAGATAAATGAGATGATGGTGAGAAAGCTCCTTTTCACCTTTAAATTCAATTCAGGATTAAAGCTAGAGGTCTTGAAAGTCTGTCAGTCAGTTAAGAAGCTTTAAAGTAAAAAAAAAAAAAGGTAAAAAAAGAAAAGAAGAAGAAGCTTTAAAGTATCTACTATGTGCCAGGCATTGTGCTAATCTCTAGGGATACAAAGAAAGAGGGTGGGGAATTGTCTCTGCCTTCAAAGAGCTTACATTCTAATGGAATGGATGGGAAGGAAGAGAGGGAGGAAGGAAGGAAGGGAAGGGGAAAAGGAAGGAGAAAAGGAAGAAGGGAAGAAAGAATGGAAGGAGGAAGGCATTTATTAAGTGTCTATTATGTGTCAGGCACTAGGCTAAGTTCTTCTATAAATATTATCTCATTTGATCCTCACAACAACCCTAGGAGGTAGGTATTTTTGTTATCCCTATTTTACAATTGAGGAAACAGTCAGGCAGAGGTTGACAGACTTGCCCAGGGTCACAGATACTAGTAAGTATCTGAGGCCAGATTTAAACTTAGTTATTACTGATTCTAGGACCAAGCTCTCTATCTACTGCACTACCTAGCTACCTCTAATGGGAAACATCACATGGAAATAACTAGGTACATATAAGATATACAATCAGTCAATCAAAAATAATTTATTAAGCATCTAACTAGGAAAGGCAAAAGACAATCCCTGACCTCAAGAAGTTCAAAATCTAATCAAGACAACTATACACACAATTGCATATGAACAAACTATATACATGATAAATAGGAAATAACCAATAAAAGAAAGGCACTAGAATTAGGAAGAATTGGGAAAGGCTTCCTGTAGAAGGTGGGATTTTACCTGGGACTTGAAAAGGTCAGGAGGTGGAGATGAGGAGGGAGAACATTCCGGGCTTTGGGAGGAGAGGAAGAATGGGTGGGTAGCCAATAGAAATTCGGGGAGCTAAAAGTTGTGTCTTTGGGGAGGAACTGCAAGGAAGCCAGTGACACTAGACTGATGAATATGTGGTGGGGTGTAAGGTGTAAGAAGTTTAGAAAAGTAGAAAAGAAGACTCATCTTCCCGAGTTCAAATCTGGCCTCAGATACTTCCTAGCTGTGTGACCCTGGGCCAGTCACTTAACCCTGTCTGCTTCAGTTTCTTCATCTGTAAAACGAGCTAGAGAAGGGAATGGTATTCCAGTATCTTTGCCAAGTAAACCCCAAATGAAGTCACGAAGAGTTGGACATGACTGAACAACAACAACGGTCATAAAGCTATAGATCAGGCAGTGAGAATTCAGGTATTAGTGTAGTTGGGGGAAATTTGTGGTGGGGGTGGGAAAGGGAAGAGCGAGAAGATATCCTTTTAAAAGCTGGGTTATGAAGGACTTTAATCAAACAGGATTTTATCTTTGATCCTGGATGTGGTAGGGAGCCATTAGAGTTTATTTATAAAGTTTATTATAAATTGAGTATTACACTTCGTTTACTTACAATGTAAATTGAAGATAATTTCAAAGACAAGCCATTAGGAGAAAGAAAGAGGAGAGTGGAGGGAGGCATGCAGAAAATGGAATTGGAGTTGAGGAATTTTTAGATGTTATTGCTAAATTTCTATTTCTTTATCTTTAAGGAGTTATGATTTGTGACTGACATGAAGTTAGAAAGAGTGAAATTCCTCTTACAGAAGGGCCTTCAACTAAAGAGAGGCATGTAACTTGAGGATGTTGTAAAACATATTCATTTTCAAGCTTGGGTTGGTCTAGATGCCTTATAGGTCCCTAATAACTCAGATTCTCTGAGTGGAGATGTACAAATCTGATTTGAAAGAAGGAAGATACTTGAAACTCTGAGACCAATTTTGATGCTAATTCCTGGTATTTTATTAAAGGGATGGTTTGTGAGCACTTAGATTCACTATAGTGATCACCAAGAACCAGGATTGGTTCATTTGTTCAGTAGTTTTTTAGATGTGTCTGACTCCTCGTGCCCCCTATTTTGGGGTTTCTTGGCAAGGATACTTGGAGTGATTTGTCAGCTCCTTCTCCAGCTCATTTTAAAGATGAGAAACTGAAGTAAAAAGGGCTAAGTGACTTGCCCAAGGTCTCAAAGCTAGGAAGTGTGAGACCAGATTTGAATTCACTATGATCAGTCTCCCTGACTTCAGGCCTGGCTCTCCATCAACTGTGCCACCTAACTGGTTCATTAAGAATGAGATATCGGTTTCATATTTCCTTTTTACCAGGTTAGGGAAATGAATTATGTACCGTGTGTCAGGTTTGCTGTATGGCATTAGACAAAGTCATGATACCCTATGGATGAGACTGAAAGGTACAGTGCCATTAGTTGGATTTGGAACTAACTATATGTCTGGACCTGAAAGCAGTGATCAATGATAGCCTCTAGGGAGGTCTCCAATTACATGCCCCCAGGCGTCTGTTTCTGATCTCACTCTGGTTAAAATTTTTCATCAGTAACTTGAATAAAGACATAGTTGTCATACTTATCAAATTTGTGGATTGAATTTCATAGAAATGTGTGTAAATACCTGTAATTAGCTTCAAAATATCAACTGTACAAGTGCAGGATATTGGAAACATGTGACCAGACTGCAGCATATCATGTGAGAAAGACCTACGGGTTTTAGGGGAAAACAACCTCAATAGGATTCCACACTGTGACATACTAGCCAGAAGCATTCATAGGTGTTAACAGAAGTATTGTGTGTAAAATGAGAGACGTGATGGTCACATTGTATGCTTCCCTGGAATGTTGTGCTCAATTCTGAGCACTGCATTTTAAGGTAGACACTGGCAAGTAGTTTAATTCCTTCTCAGTCTCTTTTTACTGAATCATTCCACTTTCCAACCAGGGTGTTCCCCAAGGCTCATCTATCTACAGATCATTTCTTTGGTGATCTTATCAGCCCCCTTGGGTTCAATTGCCATGTTTATGCAAATCACTCTAAATATCCAACCTTAATTTCCCTTTTGAGCTCCAGTCCCCACATCATCAACTACCTGCTGGACATTTCCATTTAGATTAACTGTTGTTGTTTGTGACTGAGTCGTTTCACTCGTGTCCAACTCTGTGACGCCATTTTGGGGTTTTCTTGGCTAAGTCACTGGAGTGGTTTGCCATTTCCTTCTCCAGCTCATTTTACAGATGAGGGAAACTGAGGCAAACTGGGTTAAGTAACCTGCCCAGGGTCACCCAGCTAGTAAGTATCTGAGACCAGATTTAAACTGAGGAAGATGAGTCTTCCTAATTCCAGGTCCAGCACTCTGTGCACTATGGCGCCACCTAGCTGCCCTAGATATATCGTAAGCATCTCAAATTCAACAAGTCCAAAACAGAATTATTTCTCTTTCCCCCCTAAATCTGTCCATACTTCTTTACTTCTGTTAAGGACGACACCCAATTTCCTTCCAGTAACTCAGGTTCACAACCTCAGAGTCATCCTTGGCTCTTATCCCTCGTTTACGCCGTCCCAATGCCTATTCAATCAGCTTCTAAGTCTCATCGATTTTACCTCCTCATTATCTCTTGCACCTGCATTCATGTAGCCACCACCCTAGTTCAGGCACTCATCACTTGGAGCCTGGACTATTTATTACGAAAGCCTCTTAATGATTCTCTGTTTCCAATCTCTCCCTTCTCCAATCCATTTTCCACATAGCTGACAAAATGATCTTCCTAAAGCATGTAGATTCTCCTGCTCAGGAACCTTAAATGGATTTCTCTTGCCTCTGGAGTAAATAGAAATTCCTCCTTCTGGGATTGAAAGCTCTTCACCATCCGGTGCCTAGCCCACCTTCCAGATATTTCACATATTTCATGTACTTCATGCACTTGACTGGGGTTAGATATATAGATGTGGAAGTCATTGTCATAGCAAAGATTATTAAAGCTATGGGAGTTATAAGTCACCAAGAAAGTGTAAAGAAAGAAGAAAAGGGGGCCTAGGCCAGAGCCTATGAAAGGTCAAACTCAGGATAATGAACCAGAAAAAAAAAATTGAAAAAGATAGGTAGGAGGAAAACCTAGATAGAATGTTATCAAAAACACACTGAGAGGATAGACTACACAGGAAGAGAAGGAGATCAGCAGCACCAAATACAGCAGATAGGTCAGTAAGGATGAGGACTTTAAAAAGACCATCAGATTTGGCCATTAAAGGATCACTGGTAATTTTGAAGAAATATTTTTTGTCAAGTAATAACACTTTTCTATTTCTACGTATTTGAAAGATTGTCACATAAAAGAGGTATTAACTATAGGTAAACAAAATTAATTAAATGTCCTAACATACACACATAAAATCAAATTAAACCTCATAGGTATCATTGCCAATTGATGGAATAAGATGTATAATGGGAATATGACTTTGGAAAGATTTACCTTATTCAAAAGAACCAGATAAATAAAAAGAAGGGTAGAATTATATCATAGATTAAGATATACTCATGGGAGGAAATCCAAGAACTAGGGGAGAATAGCATGGCGGAGAATATTTGGGTGAAAATCAGTGGAGTCAGAAGCAGAAGTAATATTGTCTTTGAGGTAAGCTACAGACCACCTAGACAGAAAGAGGAAAAAGATGAATTCAGGAAGTAAATCACAAGTTTGCCACTGGGCTATGATAAAACAGCATTGGGGAACTTAATTATCAATATACATCTTCTGGAAGTCTCTATGCCAAAAGCAAAGCAACTAATGATTTCTTGACATCATTGTGTTAATATCATCCTTCTAAAGATGGAGGAACAATTTATCTTTGTTAATAAAAAATTTTTTAAGGTAGAAGAGCTATCAATGACTACAAGAGCATTTTAGAAATGCTAAGTCTCAGAAAATGCTGAGGCTGGCAAGGAAAGCTAAGGGCACCAAAAAGGATCTTAAACCTATATTGCAGGAGGATCAAAAAATTGAGAGAACCCAAGATCTGGGAGGGGAAAGAATTATGATAATGGGTGAGAGAGATGGCAGAACAGTTTTACTATTGTGATTCTGTTTTCTCTTCAAAGGAGAATGATCTTTGGACTGTAAAGGACAGAAGAAAATGGCTAATAGGGTATTAACACCCTAGATAAGTAAAGAGATTGTAAGAGGACAACTAGCTACTCTTGATAAGTTTAAGTCACCTGGTCCAGATGAACCAGGATATTTAAAGACCTGGCAAATGTGAATGGTAACCACAGTGAGAGATCGTAAAGAGCTGGGCCAATACTCCAGGCTTGGAAAGGTGCAAGTGTTGCCCTGATTTTCAAAAAATGGAAGACAGCGGAGTCTGCCTAGGCCAGTGAGTTTGACCTCAATTCCTAGCAAAATACAGAATTTATAATTAGAGCTAGTGAACCATCTAAGGATCTAGAAGTAATTTAGTGATGGTAAAGAGCCAGATCACTTCATCCAGAGCAGGTTATGCCAGACTCAACTTATTTCCTTTTGGAACAGGGTTCCTAGATTGGAGGATACTGCAAATGTAATTTACTTAGATTTTAGCAAAGGATTTGACAAAGTCTCTCATGCTGCTCTTGTGGACAAAATGAAAAGATGTGGACTAGATGAGAGTGCAGTTTGGTAGTCAAAACTGGTTGAAAAGCTGGACTCAAGTGTTGTTAATGTTCAGTATTTGGACCTGGACCCCACCCAGCAAAACAGGTGAGGTAGTACCTTGGAGAGAAGTCGGAAGAGGGTCTCAGGCTGCAAGACAACCAAGTCACTAAGACCACATCCTTCTTCCTCCTGTCCCAGAGCCACTGACAAGGCATGAGAGAGCTAGGATCAGACGTGTTCTCAGAGGACATCTAGTCCAACACCTTCATTTTATAGGTAAGGAAACTGAGGCCCTAGAAAATTAAGTGACTTTGTCAAGGTCAAATAGATAGTAAAGATCAGAGGCAGGATTGAAATTCAGATTTCTAACTCCAAATCCAAGGCTCTTTCCACTGTACCACACTGCCTCCCTTACGAAAATGGTGGAAAGGACAAGAATGGGAAGTGGAGGAAAGAAGCAAGAATAATGGCAGTGGAAGCTGTAGCAATCAGACATCCCCAGAGACTGGAAAAAACTGTGCTCCCTCTGTCAGGGTACAGATAATGAGCTGCCCCACCAGAGCAGGAGGAGCTGGAGGCATATTAGGGTACACTCACCTGGCCATGTACACATACCAGTGACTATGGAAGAGAGAGCGAAGCTAACAGCTTTGACAGCCCTGCCTCACTCAAATCCAATTCATGAGCAAGTCAAGACATCATCCTCATGATGTCATTGGTCCTCTTCAAGAACGAAAGATGAACACCCACGACCACCTATGGGTAAAGAGTGGACTAGATCCTCCCCAGATTCTCTTTCCACTCCTTAGAATCTGTGATTCCTTGATTTATTTTGCTCATTCCAGAGGATAGAGTTAGGGGCAAAAATTGGAAGTTTGAGGGAGATTGATTTTTGCTCAGCAGAAAGTAAAAAAATGGAAGAACATATTAATAAATAGAACTATTCAAAACAGAATTCAGAATAAAATAGAACTATTCAAAATACTTTCAGGGTGTAGTAAGCTCCCCGTCATTAGTGGATGTTGCAAGTGCAGCCCTTTGACTGAATCCAAATGTCACAGTTTGTGATTTTTGGATTGAAGTTTGGCCACACTTGAGGACCTAGAGAGCCATATGTGGCCTCAAGGCTGCAGCTTCCCCACCCCTGGACTAAACCTTTAAGCTCTCAAATGACTATGATTCTGTGATCCTATAAAGGATTTTACTCCTCTTCTTTGCCCCTTCAGAAACAGAAGAAAAACACAGTACAACAGAAAAAACTGGAGTCAGAACTACAGAGTCAGAGAAACTAACCTCATATCCCACCAACAACGCGTAGTATTCAAGGTCACCTATTTGACCTTGTGCCAGTCATTTAACCTTCTTGAGTCTCAATTTCCTCATCAGTAAAATAAAAGGGTTGGACAAAATATCCCTTCTAGCTCTTGATCTGTGAGTCTATGTAGGACCCTGGCTGCCTCCTCCAGAAAGCTCCTTCGTACCTCTTTCCCATTCCTACCCTCCCGCCCTGTCCAAAAACCAGAGCAAGGCCAGCTTCCTTCCTTCTCAGATACTTCCTCACCACAGGATGCCCCAGAATCTCAGTGAACTTTGAGTGGAGGCCAAAGGAAACCAGAAGTCAGAGGCTACAGAAGTGAGGACTGGCTGAAGATAGTAGGGTCACTCCAGACCATATCCAGAATCTTTCCAGCCTTGCAGTAACACAGTTCCGCTTTGGACAAAAGAAAATAGCAGAAAAAGGAGAAAGGAAATTGTTGGGCAAAGGGGAATTACTTGTCGATTAATACAATTAAAGACCCTTTGGAGATTCTGGCTCAGCCAATATCTGTGATTTCATCTGCCAGGGTGTTTTAAAAAGGCCTCAGGGAATGTGGTTTCAAAGAGAGTTCTTCCAGACCTGCCACTTTTGGTTGACCTCAGAGGTCAGAACGAGGACCAATAAGGAGAAGAAGTATCTGCTCTATCTTGGGCCTTCCTCCAAACAAGCAAGGCCTCAGCTCGAAGTTAACTCAGCACAGAGACAGCAGTGGATTTATTCAGTCCACAAGCATTTATCATGCACCTGTTACTGCTGTTCAGTTTCAGTTTGTTTTGTTTCAGTTGTATATCATTTCAGAGTATGTTGTTTCAGTCATGTCCGACTCTTTGTGACCCCATTTTCTTGGCAAAATTACTGGAGTAGTTTGCCACTTCCTTCTCCAGATCATTTTACAGATGAGGAAACTGAGGCCAAAAGGATTAAGTGACTCGCTTAGGGTCACACAGCTTGTAAGTGTCTGATGTTGGATTCTTCCTAACTCCAGGTCCAGAGCTCTATCCACTGCACCACCTAGTTGTCCTTATTATGCACCTACTATATGCTGGACACAATGCTAAACACTGTGGCTACCAAAAAAAAAAAAAAAAAAAAAAGCAAAGAACAGCCCCTGCACCGGAGGAGCTCAGAATCTAATGAGAAATGCACCATACGTACAAACAAGCTTGATCAACAGAGGCAAGGCACCAGCATCAAGGGGAAATAGGAAAGGCTTCTTGCAGAGGATAAGATTTTAGTTGTGACTTGAAGTAGGCTAGGGAAGCAAGGAGACAAGATGGGAAGGGAGAGGATTCCAGGTATGGGAGACAGCCAGTGAAAATGCCTCGAGTCAGGAAACTGAGTATATCATGGAAAGAACTGCACGGAGCCCTATGTCACCCAATCACAGAGTTTATGTAAGGGATTAAAGGTAGAAGACTGGGAAGGTAGGAAGGGGACAGGTTAGGAAAAACTTGGAATGACAGAGGACTTTACATTTGATCCTGGAGGTGATGGGGAGCCACTGGACTTTATTAAATAGGGAAGTGACATGGTCAGACCTAAGATCACTTTGATAGCTGAGCGGAAGACATGGTTCCTAAGTACTGAGGTTCAAGACGAGGCTGGATGACTGGCCACTTACTGAGGATGTCATAGAAGGAACTCCCATTCAAGTGCCAGTTGGAATAGATTACCTCTGAAGTTCACTGTCCCGCCAAGATTCTATCAATGGAGGCCCTTGCTTTCAGTACTTAGCAATGACTCATCTTCCTTCCATTTGGCTTCTTTCAGACAAACCTGTCATGCTTCAGTTCCTTGACTGGATTCTTCGAGGCGTATCCCAAGTGGTGTTCATTAATAACCCCATCAGCGGGATCATCATCATAACTGGGCTGCTGGTCCAGAGTCCCTGGTTGACCCTCACAGGCTGCCTGGGAAATACAGTGTCCACACTGACAGCCCTACTGCTCGGTCAAGACAGGTAAGGGTCGTCCACTGGGATCTGTCCGTCTTGTTTGCTACAACCCTAAAACTCTGTGCTGGTGAGGAATGATGAATTCCATCAGGAAGGAACAATGACAAATGTGTCCTTAAATGAAGTGATTCTTTATTTTCAAAAATCCATTGTAATTCTCTGAGTCCAAAGTATTATTTTTCCTTTGTATCACAGATATTGGATGTTGTGTCCAAATTGTAGGATCTTCTCACGTTTCTGAGGCCCCTTTAAACTTTAATCCTTTCAAATCAGAAGACCCGGGTTCTACTGCTGCTTGTTGTTCAATCGTTTCAGTCATATCCCACTATTCCAGACCCCATTTGGGGTTTTCTTGGCAGAGATACTAGAGTGGTTTGTCATTTCCTTCTCCAGCTCATCTTACAGATGAGGAAACTGAGGCCAACAGGCTTAAGTGACTTGCCCAGGGTCACACAGCTAGTAAGTGTTATGTGTCTGAGGCTGGATTTGAACTCAGGTCCTCCTGACTCCAGGACCGGTGCTCTATCCACTGTGCCGCCTAGCTGCCCCAGAATATAAGTTTTGTAAAGCATAGTTACATATGTGAGAGCATAGATCTAGAGCTTAAAGGGATTTCAAAGACCACCTAATCCATTCCCCTTCCACTTTTCCAATGAGGTCATTGAGGATCAGGGCGGTTGTGACTTGTCCAGGGTCCCATAGATAGTAAACATACATCAGAAACAGCATTGGTACCCAGCTTTCCCTGATATTAAGGTCAACTCTGTATCTGCTACAATACCCTGCCTGTATTTACACATAGGTGTACATATAGGTAGATATAGATATTCTCAAAGATGAATGGGCAGGATTAATGACCTCTAAGGGTCCCTTCCTGGGAAGGCAACAATCAATGATTCTGTAACCCCATATGTAGACGTCATCTGATCCTGGATCAGATATTGAAAGTTGGAGGGGACCTCAGAGGTCATTTAGTCTAACCCCCTCATTTTACATTTGAGAAATCTGAAGGCCGTGGAGGCTAAGTGATTTACCCAAGATTACATAGGAAATAAGCATCAGAAGGCAGATGTGAACCAAGGTCCTCTGACTTCAGAGCCTGTATCCTTCCCACAGTTCTAATTGATGCAAAAAAAAAATCTGATATCATCCTCTTCCTATACAAATATTTATACATTTTTATTTTGTTAGCAGAGTACAATATAGTGTTAACACAATAGAATAGTTCTTATCTCCAGAAGGGCTTTGTTGAATGAATATGTGTAGCCTGGGAATTCATGGATAGGGCCTGTGATGTCTTTTCTCTTCAGTATATTTGTATAATGAGTTTATCAAATTCCTTATTGTCCCCTTCCCAGGAAAGGAAAGTTTCAAGGAGGGGGGAAGATAGCGCAATGTGGACTGCAGCTAAGAGGAAGGAGCCCAAGTGGGGCATCCTCTGTGCTCTGGGCATTGGCTAGGAGGGGAGAGGAGTGAGAGTGCTGTAGGCCTAAACTCTACTTAACTCCAAGACTATATACAAAGTGGTTTCATTTTAATAAGAAATACATCTATCTATAATCTTTTATTTTGGCTAAAAGAGCCACTCCAGGGTACTCAAAAAACTCCTGAGTTGCTTCTAATTGCCTAGCCTTGGACTGAATGATAGATAGGGAAGGTCATTTCCAGTTCATACTATATTCTGTGACTCATACGGAAACCAGAATCAAGGAAACAATGAGCAGGCTGGTAGAGGTGGAAGTCCTTGTCTACTTGTAAGAATCTGAGATCTTATTGGTGCAGGTACCCTTTTATCCTTCCCTCCCCTCCCCACCCATCTCACTGCAGAAGCAGGTTGAAGTCCATCTATGCCTTTTCATCCTTAATGTCTCTTGTTCCAATGTCAAGCTTCTACAGAGGGCTGACCCTAAGTGCTGAAGAAGGCCTTCCTTTAGGTCAAGAGTCCTTAACCTATTCCATATCATGGACTCCCGGGCGAAACCTATGGACCCCTTTTCTGAACAATGTGTTTAAATGCAGAAAATGTCTTACATTGGGGTTACAAAGAAAGTCGATCATATTGGTTATCAAAATATTTTTTAAAGAATCGTTTTATGGACTCCAGGATAAGAACATATGCTCTACACTGATAACTACAGAATGACATTTCTTATAGTCATATGTTATTGACTTCTTGCATGTTTTCCAGAAAGACTTTCCAAACTTTTCTTCAACACCTAATCCTATTTCTTCCTATTTAATCCTATTCTTCCTCATCTACTCTAAGCAAACAAATCTTTCTGCCTACTTGACTGAGAGGATTGAGAGTCATCTGAGGGAAAGCCCTTTGCCTCCCACATGCTCTAAGTCACTGAATACTTCATAAGCATTAGCTCTGGGCCTGGGCTGTCCAACCCATTATCTTTATCCTCCTTTCCTAACACAAGCAGCCTACCTCCTTTTCATATTATTTTGTACTAGTCATTGATGGCAATGCAGGGTTTTGGGGCAAGCTCTGAGGCTCCTTAATCATGGACACAAATATATAATTAGCACATCAATTGCTTCCATGGGCTTTTGTACGTGTGCCTATGCACCTGGAATTCAATTCAATTCAGCAAGTATGTATTAAACACTTATTTTGCTTTGTTTTGAGCTAGTATTCTGCCTGTGAGGCCCAGGGGCACCCTGATAGAAACAGAAATAGTGTCGGCCCTCCAGAACTGAAGCTTTACTACACTGATACTGAAATTCAAAATAATTTGAGGAAGAGGCCAGAGGACTCACACCACTGAGGTTGGGGTGGGCATCAGGGAGGGCTTCGTGTAGATGGCCAAGATGGGGAAGGAGTATATTCTAGGCTTAGAAGAGAGCTTATGGAAAGACTTGAAAGTTATCTCTTTTTGTTTAAACACTATCCTTTATAATCTTGCTTTCACATTAGGTACTTATTAAATATTTGTGGTTTGTGTATTCCTACTTTTAATTTTGGAGCAGCTAGATGGGCTCAGTGAATAGAGTGCTGGCCAAAAGACTCATCTTCATGAGCTCAAATCTGGCCTCAGACACTTACTAGCTGTGTGATCCTGGGCAAGTCACTTAACCTTGTTTGCCTCCGTTTCTTCATCTGTAAAAAGAGCCAGAGAAGGAAATGGCAAACCACTCCAGTATCTTTGTCAAGAAAACCCCAAATGGGGTCACAAAAAGTCAGACGTGACCAAAACAACTAAACAACAGCAAATCTTAATATTCCTAATAAATTCTTTCTACGAGCACAAGGCACAGTAACCTTGAGCCTCTGTGTATGATTGCATATTCCCAGATAGCAGATTCTGATTTAATGAGGTTTAGTTTCTTTTTATTTAATACACCATACAGTTAGAAGTCTCCCATACTAAATGCTACAGCAATCAGCCCTCTTTGGGAAGCAGCTCGGAGCAATGAAGAGCTAGGCTTGAAGTCAGGAGAAACCTGAGTTTAAATCCCATCTCTGATACTGGCTGTGTGACTGGGCAAGGTCATTAGCCTCTCTGTACCTCAATTTCCTCATCTATAAAATGGTTTCAGTAGTATTTGCTGCATATACCTCTCACAAAATTGTCATGAGGATCAACTGAGCTAACATACGTAAAACTTTTTGCAGATCTTAAAGGGCTACCAGAGAAGGTGGTATAATTAATAATAATAATGATAGCCTTTCTATAGAGCTTTAAGGTTTGCAAAGCTCTTTGCATGCATTTGATTGATCTTGGTATCTTATGGAAAGACCACTAGCTCTGACATCAAAGAAGCTTGGTTCAAACTCTACCTCTAGACCTCACTACCTGTGCCCTTAACATCCCTGGACCTCAAAATCTTCATCTTTTAAATGAGTGAATTGGACTAAATGGCCTTAAAGGCCATTTCAGCTCAGGATCTATGATCCTATGGTCCTTAGCTCTTTTAACCATTAGCATCAGTACCTATAGACACATGGGTCCTAGGATCATAGATTCAGAGCTGAAAGAGACCTCAGAGGACATCTCTCAACCTCCTCATTTACAGATGAGGAAACTGAGGCCCAGAAAAGGTAAATGACTTGCCCAAGGTCACCTAAATACAGTCAAAGGTAGGAATCTGAACTAAATTTTTCTTACTCCAAAGTCTGTGTTCTTTCGTACCAAGCTAAGTAAGGGTCAAGGCAGTAAGAAGTTATATGGCTTTCACAGGTTGTACATTTTGCATGAGATATTCATAGGATTATAGATCTAGAACCAGAAAGAACCTCAGAAAGAACCACCATCTATAGAGTGTCAGTCATTTTCAGTCAAATCTGACTCTCTGTGACCCCATTTGGGATTTTCTTGGCAGAGATACTGGAGTGGTTTTCCATTTCCTTCTCTATGTCATTTTGTAGATAAGGAAACTGATGTGAAGAAGGTTAAGTGACTTGCTCAGGGTCACCAAGTGTCAGGCCAGATTTGAACTCAGGAAGATGATTCTTCTGACTCCATGCTGGGCACTCCATTGCCACCTAGCTTTCTTATCTGTAAAAAAGATACTTTCGTAAGTAAAAATCTCTAAGCAAGGCAGAAGTCCTTTTTAAAACACAACACTTGACTCTGGGAAGAAAGGACTAAATAGAACCAGAAGTGCATGAATTTGTTCATTATTCTTCCTTCCCTTTAGCAATAAGAAAGATTGCCTCCCACCCAAAAAAAAAACATAAGAAGAAAGAAGCATACATGGAGATATAAGTATATTTTTATTTTTAAAACCATGCTCTTTAAAAAAAAATTTATATTCTACAAGTATTTGTTGAACTGAAATGAATTTATTGAACAAATGAAATATATTTTTGTTATTTTATTTATGTATTTGTGTGATGAACTCTTCCAGCTCTTTCCACCTCTACTCTGCATCAGCTGTTCAAGAAGATGGAATTACCTTACACCTCATCATCACTAGAAACTGTTAAATCTCCATGATCCTGAACTTTGAAATTCCCTCCAACCACAATCTCCTGTGTTCCTCCTCTCCCTCTTCCTTCACTCCTGCTCTTCAGCCTTATCATGACCTCTGTACTTGAGTTCCTCCCTAATCTCACAATACATCAACTCTGCTCCAGGCCTACATACTTCTCAACTCAGTTTTGATCATTTGATCAGCACCCACTATTCCCTTTTCACTGTCTCTGAATCCTTTGCCCCTGTAACCTTCTGTTGCTTCTGTCCTGTACCCTTAACCCTGGGAAATCCCTACTGTCTACCTCTTCTGCTTCTACTCCAATGCTATTGAAAACTATTGGGGGGAGCTCATAAAACTTTAGTGACCAGGCCTACCACACTTTTATATTATCTAACCTCAGTTGGGCAATCGCTGCTGAATAACATTTCTTTTACTCATGTTGTTGACCTTTCACATTATCCAGAGAGGCTCTTCAAACCTTCCTCTTCTTCAACCCCCAACTTTATCTGTTCCTCAATTACTCTCAGCAGAAAATCTTGTTGCCTACTTGACTGAAAAGATTGGGAGCCATCTAAGGGAATTCTCTTAGCCACTTTTCCTCCACTCCTGTTCCTCTCAATGTCCTCATCACTCATCTCCTTCTTTCTAATTGCAGAGGAAAAGGTATCTCTCCTCCTTAAGCTAACCTGCCTACCTATGTCCTCCACTCCCTCCCCTTCTATTTTCTCTGTTATCTGGCTCTATTATTGATTCCCTCTTACATGTGTAACTTCTCTTCAGCCTACAGACACAATCAGTTCTCCCCTGTGTTCAAAAAACAAAACTACCTTTCTTTTGATCCTGCAATAACTTGAAATTACTTCTTATTTTTCTTTTCCTTTTCACAAACTTAAAAACAAGAGTAGTTCATACTCATGGTCTCCACTTCCTTATTGGCTAGTCATTTGTCAGCCCCTTGGAGTCTGGCTTCCAGCCACAATACTATACTGAAACAGGTCTCTCCAACGTTATGAATGGCCTAAATATCACCAAAGTTAATTATGTTTGGGGTTTTCATGTTTATTATGTTTGGGTTTTTTTGTCTCTTGGTGAATCATCCTTTTCCTCCCTTGGCTTCCACAATGCTTCATGCTCACAATCTTTCTCCTACTTCTCTGATTGCTCCTCATTCTTTTTTTGTGCTCCCCATCCTCCTCCTGCTTGAACTTTAGAATCCCCAAGGCCGTCTCCTTTTTTCTCTACAGATTCTCTTCTTTGGCAATGTTATATGTTCTTATGGCTTTATTATCACCTCTATGCAAATGACTCATCACTTTCCCTACCATAAACCTTTTCTGTCCCTAAGGTCTCCATTTTTGTTGACCAAGTCACCATCATTCCTAGGCTCATTGACTAAGGCTTATGATTCTGGAGCCCTCTTTGTTTCTTCCCTCTCCCTCACCTGATATGATTCAACCAGTAGTCACATCCTGCCATTTCAACTTGAGTGATATTTCTTGTCTGGTCTCTTCTCTCTATTCCAACTGCCACCTCTTCTAACCTAGGCTATCATAACAGCTCCTAACACACTGCTGCCTGATAAATCTTCTCTCACACAGTTACAATCACTCCTCTGCTCCAAAACCTTCAGAATCTACTTGTTGTCTCTTAAATAAAGCATTAACTCTTGACTTTGGCATTCAAGATCCTCCCAATTTGGTTTTAGACAATACAGATATTTCATACTATTGCTCCCCTTCATTTACTCTATATTCCAACCTAACCAGGGGAAGGGAATGAGAAGGGAAGTGAATAAACATTTATTTAACACCTACTATATGCCAGGCACTGTGCTAAGTGCTTTTTGCAAATATTATCTCATTTGATCCTCATAACAGCCTTGACAAATAGATACTATTACTATCTCCACTTTACAGTAGAGGAAAATGAAGCAATAACATTAGTAGTAATATTAATAGTTAACATTTATGTAGTGCTTAAGATGTTCCAGGCACTGTGCTAAGTGCTTTACGATTATTATGTCCTTTGATCCTCACAACAAGCCTGGGAGGTAGGTGCTATTATTATCTCCTTTTTACAGTTGAGGAAACTGAGGCAAAAAGAGGTTAAGTGACTTCCCCAGAGTCACACAGCTAGTTATTGTCCAAAGTTAGATTTGAACTCAGGTTTTCCTAACTCCAAGCCCAGAACTCTATCCATTGCATCACCAGCTGCCTCTCTAACTAAATCACTCCATCCTCTCATTCTTATCCTGCCCTCACCTGTCTCCATACCTTTGCTCCCCTTTATTCCCCCATGCTGATAATAGATTCCTTTCTTCCACCCATTGAAGTTTTTCCCTTCCTTTTTTTTAACTTTTTTCTTTTTAATTTATTTATTTTTAGTTTTCAACATTCACTTCCACAAGATGTTGAGTTCCAAATTTTCTCCCCATCTTGCCACACACACCGCAAGACAGCGTGCATTCTGAATATCCCTTTTCCTAATCTGCCCTCCCTTCTATCATCCCCCTTTCTCTTATCCTCTTCCTCTTCTACTTTCCTGCAGGGCAGGATAGATTTCTATAACCCATTGCCTATGTATCTTATTTCCCAGTTGCATGTAAAAACAATTTTTAACATTTGTTTTTAAAGCTTTGGGTTCCAAATTCTCTCCCTCCCTCCTCACCCACCCTCATTGAGAAGGCAAGAAACTTGATACAGGTTATACATGTGTAGTCATGCAAAACACTTCCATAGTAGTCATGTTGTGAAAAACTAACTATATTTTCCTTCATCCTATCCCACCCTTTGTTTATTCTATTCCCTTCCTCTTTAAAAGTCCACCTCAAATACTGCATCTTCCAAAAAGTCTTCCCTATCTACTCTTTCTTCAGATGAAAAGCCCTCTTCAACGTCACAGTTTTACCTGGACTTCTTTGCTCCTCTTCTCTTCTCTTTGTTTGATAGTTAGCTGGTTACTATCCTTCTTCTCACCTCTCCCCTTTAGACTGTAAGCTGCTTGATTGTAGGGCTTGTGTGATTTTTGTCTCTGTGTTTCCAGTACAGAATATGGTATTTTTTATATGTGAAACAGTGAATGTTGATTGAATTAAATGATGGTCCCATGAAACCTTAACTAAAGTTACCTTAAGATTGTATGAAATGAGAACATAAAGGGAAAAATGCTTTGGAAGTAAAGAGTGCTCCATAGATGCATGGTGCTATCCCACCTCTGCAGGATCAGCATATGTCGAAAAAACTCAGAGTGGGAAGACCTTCAGAGACAATCTGGTCCCTCTCCCTGAAAAAGATTCTCCCCTCAATATCAAATCAGATATGTGATCATCCAACCTTTACTTTAGACCTCCTGGGAAGGGGATTCCATTATTATAGAATTCAGAGTAGGAAGAGATCTTGAAGGCCATTGAGTTCAATTTCTTCTTTTTAAAGATGAGGAAACTAGGAAAATGGCAGAATATGTATGTCTGGTGCCTCACCCAGGATTACACAGATAATAAGTGAGAGGCAGCTAGGTGGTACAATAGTTAGAGCATTAGGCCTGGAGTTAGAAAGACCAGAGTTCAAATCTGGCCTTAGACACTTTCTAGCTGTGTGACACTGGGCAAGTCATATAATGTTGTTTGCCTCAGTTTCCTCATCTGTAAAATGAGCTGGAGAAGGAAATTGCAAACCACTTAGGTATCTTTACCAAGAAAAGCCCAAATGGAGTCACAAAGAGTCAGGCACAACTGAAACAATCCTGAAAGAGTGGCTGTGATTGGTAGGATGATGTCCTTGCATCAAACCTAGATCATTAGCTTTCACCCATCACTCACAGTTGTGTCCTCTGAGGTCAAGTAGAACAGGTCTAACCTCCATGTTGCAGCCCATCACGTCCAGTGCCTCTTTCCTACAGGTCAGCAATTGCAGCTGGGCTTCACGGCTATAATGCCACCCTGGTAGGAATACTTATGGCTCTTTTCTCCTACAAGGGAGACTATTACTGGTGGCTTCTATTCCCTGTGATTGTCATGTCCATGACATGGTGAGTACAACCTGTTTTTAAAAAAACATGCTTTTTCATTTGCATCAAGGACATGCGTACAATTGAAAAAAATTAACATTTAATGCTACTGGTTATTTGAGGTCACATGCTAAAAATTTAGTGAATTCAACTGCTACTTAATGCTGAAATGAATAATCCAGATTTATGCTCTAAACACAGCCTCAAATTCTTCTGTTATAGCATCCCACATTAATATATGTATACTGAATATATGCCACATACTGCTAAATGCATTTCATTTCCTTTTGGAGCGTGTTAATAACAAGTAAGAAAATGGCAAAATATTCATGTCTAATTTCAAAATCAGAGAAGATTGTCTTATTTCATCCTGATATCAAAGAACTGTGATTTTGCTTGTGGTGAGAACTACGAGACAGTGGATCTGTATCCAAATAAGTTCCAAGGGGCTCCAGAAGGCTCAGAGAGTTTAAGGTCTTTGCACAGCTAATAAATGTCAGAAGTGGGATTTGAACCCAGGTCCTTCTGGCCTCAAATTCAGCGTTCTCTCTGCCACACCTTTACTGCCTCTCTCCCTCATGCTTAAAATTTTTTTTTGTTAAATAGAGGTTTCCAGTATTGGAAAATTCCGCACAATGACAAGTGCATCAAAGCATAGATTCCCACAACGTCTAAGATTTTCAAGGCTTTTTTCTGAACTTGCCAGTAATTCAATGCATTTTCATGAGATATTTTTTCAAGAAAATTGCTTAACTCTAATTCCCTCTCTTCTGTTGTATGCATACAAAAGTGCTTCCTCTTGATTTTCTATTATGCTATAGAGGGTATGGAAACCTGTGTCACTCAAGGGCACATGGACCACAATCTCTAACCAATCAAGAATGCAGGATAAAAAAAAAACAAATTTAATTTTTATTTTTGGCAGGGAGGGGATGTGGTGAGAATATCTAGGACTTGGGTTTGTTTGGTTGGGTTTTTTGTTGTTTTTTTGTTTTTTTTCAGAGAGAGCTCTGGACAATTTATAGTCTTGGAAAGCTGTCCAGAGTTAGGAGACTTTCCCAGAGTCACATATCCAGCATGTGTCAGGGGTGAGGCTTGAATCAAGGGCTTCCAGATGCTAAAGCCAGCTCATTAGCCACTACCCCATGCTTCCTCTCATGAAACCCATTTTCAAAGCAAAGGTTTACCTTTTTGTATGCAACTTCAAGGTATGAAAATCCAAATTAGTAACATAGATTAAATCATGGAGTGAATGTTTTTCTTTATAGCAATATTTTTCACTGTGCAACAGGAATCACCAGGGTTATTTTTTTTTCAATGCAACTCCTCTAATGCATTTCTATACATCCTATCAAGTTAATATTACATACAACCTTGCTAGAGCACATTTACCAAGTCAAGTCAAGTCTGCCTATACAATAACTCTCAAGTTAGTTTTCCTGGTTTGATATTTTTGTTTTGTTTTTCAGTCCAATTTTTTCCAGTGCATTGGGCTCCGTGTTCTGTAAATGGGACCTCCCTGTCCTCACCCTACCTTTCAACATGGTATTAACAATGTACTCGGCAGCCACTGGACCTAAAAACCCTTTCTTTCCCACCAAATTAGCTACGACATCTGTTCCCAATGTTACCTGGTCTCAGATCAATGTCCCTGAGGTAAGAGTTACATTCTCTTTTCACATTTTCTCCTTATACATAGTGAGAGGTCTGTTGCTTTCTTGTGCATGAATATAAGAGCCCTTGCATTTCCAAGGCACCTTATTATCTCTTTAAAGTCATCTTAATTGTCATTATTAAGAAATGTTGAAAATCAGATTCAAAACAAAGTTCTTTTGTAAAGCCCATTGGGCTCCAGATGATATGAGGTGAGTCTACTGGCTCAAGGCTAACATCCTAACTTGTTTATGGAACTCTATCTGAACAACAGAAATAGAGATAATACCACAGAGTAGCTACCTGGAAAGGCAAGTATTTTATGGATTGCTTGAACATTGAATTGAAGAATGTCATTGAAATTGATCCTAGACAAAAATGAATTTTGGAGCTGAAGGGAATCTTAGCGATTTTCCCTTCACTGCCTATATCACAGGCAGGTAGGTGGCGCAGTGTATCAACCACCCCAACCCTTTTCTATTTCTCTTTTCTCTATTTCCAGCCCCCAACAAATATACATGGAGGCAGGTAGGTGACACAGTAGATCGAGGACTTACTCTGAACTTAGGAAGACCTGAGATTAAATTTGACCTCAGACACTTCCTAGTTGTGTGATCCTGGGCAAGTTATTTAACCTTTGCCTCAGTTTCCTCAACTGGAATAATAATAATACCTAATTTGCAGGGTTGTTATGAGGATCAAATGAGGTAAGATTTATAGTGCTTACCACAGTGCTTAGCACATAAGTAGGGACTATATTTTGTTGTGGTTCATCCTTTGTTTTCAAAGAGGACCAATGATATCAGATGTTAGGGTAAAATAATGCATGATGGGTGATATCTTAACTTGCCTGTGAATTGGATTTAAGTAAGGCAGAGTTGCAAAAAAGTTATCAGCCTCATTCTCTCTTCCAGAGTCATTGAAGTCACAGTGACTGGTGATGGCCCAGGATAGGGTGTTCAGGGAGGACTACACCTCTGGTATGAAGGCTTGCTAAGACCTTTTCAGGGCTGCTTATGCACCTTTGGTGTCCACCTGTCACTCAGCTCTCACCTGTAGGCACTATGTAAAGTTGGGAAAAAATCTCTCTGTAAACCTTAAAGAATCATATAAAAGTGAATTGTGTTCATTATCCAATCATGGGATTATCAGATATAGAACTTCTTGTTGTTGTTGTTTGTCCTTTCTTCTCGAAGAGGACCATGACATCAGGGAGGTGATGTCATGACATGCAAGTAAAATGGATTTAAGTGAGGGAGGCTGTGCAAAGTCACCAGACTCATTTTCTCCTCCAGAGCCATCTGGGTCCAGTGGCCAGATATAGAGCAGGATAACTGGAAATGGCCCAGGATGCAGTGGTGGACCTTGGCCTTTTCAAGCTAAGGTCTTTAACAGGTCTTAGTTTGACTGAGGCAATGCCCATTCAGTGATTAAGGTTTAATAAGAAATGAGGCAGAGAATGGCCTCTTTATCTAATCAAAAAAAAAAAAGAAGAAGAAGAAGAGAAAGAAGAAGAAGATGATGATGATGATGATTATGATACCCTATGTAGACAGAGGGAAAGAAAGAAAGAACTTGAAAGGACTTTGGAGATCACCTAGCCTACCTCTGCCATTTTATAGATGAGGAAATTAAGACCTAGAGAGAGGAAGGATCTGGCCCAAGGCAACTCAGGTCCTAAGAGGTGAAGAAGGGATTCACACCCAGATTTTCAGTCTCCAAAGTCAGTGTTCTTTCTACTAGACCAAGCAGCTTCCTCCCTTCCTTTTACAGAGAAAGAAATGGACTCTGAAAGTGGGACTGACCTGCCCATGGTCATATGACAAGTAAACGAGTGATGTGGAACTAGAAAGCAGATGTCCTGGTTCCTTGTCCTTTTCCATTGCCATAAACTGGCTTTTGCTCATTTTGATAGGATCATTGATTTAATCTAACCCTCTTATTTAATTGTTCAAGAACCGAGGACCACAGTAAAGTGGCTTGCCCATGATTCCACAGCTAATAAGTAGTAGAGCCAACATTCAAGTTTTCCATCTCTGATCACTAATGATAATAATGATAAAGATAATAATAGCTAACTATGTAGTGCTTTTATGTGCCAGGCACTATGCTAAGTGCTTTATAATTATTATCTCATTTGATCCTCATAACAACCCTGGGAGGACAGCTCCCATTACAGATAGGGAAACTGAGGCCAACAGTTTAACTGACTTGCCTGAGGTCACACAGCTAGTAAGTATCTGAGTCCAGATTTGAACTCAAGTCTTCCTGACTCTAGGGCCAGAGCTCTATCCACTGTGCCATCTAACTGCCTTAGTGTATATATGTTGGGGATTGAAAACAGGAAAAAGAGAAAGAGAAGAACAAAGGGTTGAAGGTAGAACCGAAGGATGTGAATTCTGGTTCTTCTTAGTGTTTATCTGGCAAGTGTGATTAAGGTCATCTTGATAACTGCAGAGTAGAGAGAACTTGATATTAGAGGAAATGAAAGGAAACTTGACCTTTTTAACTCATAAGTGCTTGTTTTCAAAGACTGAAAAATGCTTTGGTGAATTTCCAGCTAAAGCCTCCAAATAGCTATTACTCTCTATATATGCCCCAAATAGCTATTACCCAGCAAATTTGAGGACTAACTGTTATGAGTAATTACTTTTCCCCTTTGTCAGTGTCCCAGAAGGATATTAAGGGAGAGAATTAAGTAAGTGTGGGGAAATTAAAAGAAGGAAGACAAAACTCTAAGGGTACAATCATATTTATAACAATAATGCCAATCTGGTAGCCTTCAAAGCTTTGCTTCAGTGGTCTAGAGGAGATCAGACATGTTTGAAGGCTTTCTTGGATAATCAGGATGCCTTCAGAATGGCCCCAGCTCCAAGCTAGGACTATTCAGATATTGGCACTATCCTAAGCTGGAAACAAACCCACGGCATAGCTCCCAATCTCCAAACAAAGCTGTTACTCATAATACCAGGCTTTCACATGAATGCAATAAGAATCCAACAAGTAATCAACACACATTTATTATGTTTGATATGTGTGAGCCCTGTGCTAAGGACTGCTAATACAAAGAAAAAGCCGAGACATTACCTGTCCTCAAGAAGCTTACATTATCATGGGAAAGGCAACACAAACATATTGGTATTTACAAAATAAATACAGTTCATGGAAGATAGCTTTAAGGGAAACAACCATCTGATCAGGCACTAACTGCACCCAAAATAGCATTTTCTCAGCCTATTGTGACATTACCCTTCTCTCCTACATGGCCTGAATATCTCACACTTACAGTCATTGTTTCCAGGTCCCTATTAAAATGCATACATGTTTTTAGAAGGGAAGCAAGAGGAAGGTCATGAGGAGAATGAGACCTCTTCCAGGCCTCTTCTATTACCACATTCATGCGAATGAGTTTATCACATTGGCAAATTGTTACCCATGGAGGAACCAAGAGCCTGGTCCTGAGAGGGGAAGGTGCATTGGGAGGGAGAGGAAAAGGCAATATTGAGGTAGGGTGCTGGACCACAGAGGGCAGGCCAAGGCAGCAGTGAAGTACCTGAAATTACTTATAAGAAGGAAAGGTAGAAGAGATAGATATCATTTTCAATATATAAATATGGAAACTGAGGTCTAGAAAATCTGTGTCTTCTCTAAGCTCACTCAAATGGTAGGAGAGTCCTCCCTAACCCAGGTCTCCTGACCTCCAAACTAGTCATGCTGTACCATGCCTTGATGCCTTCCCCAGGGAGAGCTATTTGCCAGACTCAAATGAGATGATGTACATTAAGCCCATTGTAAACCATAAATGTTTCTGTCTAAAGTACAATAAATGTAGGCAATCATCATTATGATTATGACTTCTCAATTTGTTCCCAGCATCAGCACGGAACAGAGTTTTACAGCAGGTCAGACTCTACCCAACAACGGGTCACTTTGGGTAAATTCTGCCCAAAGACAAACAATTCTGCCAAACCAGTTTTTTGGCAACCAAGGAATCTGCTTTCTGGCTATGGGGCTGAGTTTTTCAATTTTCCAACTAGTCACTTTGACATCGCATAGGGATGAGTCTCCAGGCACAAACTGACATCACCAAATTAGATAGTTCTGAGAGAGGAGGGGGGAAAAAAAGGTCACTTAAACTGCTGTCTGATGGCATGTGGCTTTAAACCATGCTGGCAAATAGATAAAATGTTAGTTCCTGCGGTCTTTGAGGTTGATTTTCTGCAATACTTAATAATCCAAGAAATGTGTGCAGTGGTAAACAGGAGGAGGTAAGCCACCCTTGTAAATAGTTTCATATAGCCCTTGTGCATTTCTCAGAAACCCATGAGATTCTTAGAACAGCATTCCTCCCCTCCCTTCACCTGCTGACTAACCAATCGCATCTAATGTTTTAGTAAGGCAAAGGATAAGAGCATGAGGGCCAGAAGGGACTTTAGAGATCATCTCCAATAGTGGTTCAGTGGACAGAGTGCTGGCCTTGGAGTCAAGAGGACGTGAGTTCAAATCCTCCCCCTCAGACACTTTATTAGCTCTGTAACCCTCGGCAAGTCACTTAAGTTTGTTTGCCTCAGTTTGCTCATCGGTAAAATAAGCTGGAGAAGGAAATGCCAAACCACTGTAGTATCTTTGCAAAGAAAAACCCAAATGTAGTGAACTCTAGCTTTAGTTGAGGTTGGGGGAGATCAATAAATGTTTCATGGGGCTGGCACCTGGGCTGAGCCTTGAAGATGAGGACAAAGAGGCAGAAAGGAGGACTAGATTCCAAGCAGGGGGAGAAGCAAAGGGAAACAGAAGGCCAAATTTGAGGAACAGCTAGTCGTGCTATTTGGATGGGACGTCGATGGTGGAAGGGGGAGGCATTTGAAATAAGACTGAAAAGGAAGGGAGGTAGGAGGCAAGTTGTTAAGACTCATTAAGTACCAACCTGAAGAATTTGTATCCTAGAAGCCATAAGGAGCCACTAAGGTGTTTGAACCAGGGGGTGATTTAATCAGATCTGTGCC